TATATATATGTGTGTGTGTGTGTGTGTGTGTGTGTGTGTGTGTGTGTGTGTGTGTGTGTGTGTGTGTGTGTGTGTATGTATATGTATATACGTATATATGTAAATATATATGTATATTGCTCTATTGCTCAGACTAAGATTTACCCAATCAGTGTGTGCTCTGTTCATGTTGTGTTATCTCTGAGGGCTATGAGTTGTTAGATTTTTGGAACCTGTCTATATTATTCAAAATTCCATGTCCTGTCTTTTGGGGTACGAGTGATGTAAACGGAAACAAGCATGCAACAATAAACCATGTATCAGTCACATTTTAATTTATGATTACGTTTTATCTCATGTCCTTCAAAAGCCCATTTAACAAAAGTGTTCAAATAAAGCATGACTTTCAGGATGTGATGTCAAAATCTAACCAAAATCTTTGTTGCAACTCCGGTTTGTGGTTTCCCACTTGAAAGATGGGTTTGACATTTTGGCTGTCACCATCTTGGTAAAATGGAGCCAGTGGGAATTAGACTGAAAACCACAAATGTCAATTACAAGGTAGTCTGATCCTAACGCTTTGCTTAAACTTCTTCTACTTTTATTTACCTTCTCTTACATAAAACTCTCTGATTTAAAAAAGAAATATTGTGCTAAGGCTGAATACTTAACAAGGAAACTGCTCATGCATGTTGAGATGTACAGAAATGTATATGTATTCATGACCAGAGTGAAATTGTACTTTGCTCATTTGTGTTGTTTATTCTAAATTCTGTAAACTTTATGCTGGTTATCAGAACATGTGACTGAATCACTTAAAATTTGATATTATTTTGCAGAAACAACTCCTAAGAGTCCTGTGGTGAAAACAACCGAATGTTACGAGGGCAAAGGAGAGGGTTATAGGGGGACAGTAGACATGACACCCAGTGGAATCATGTGCCAACGCTGGGATTCTCAGTACCCCCATAACCACACATTTATGCCTCAAGCTTACCCTTGCAAGTGAGTCAGAAACTCACATGAGAAAGCACACTCACCCATCCACCAGTGGGAATTTCCATCTAAGCAGATTGCAGGATGACATTCTCTATTTTCTAGGGACCTGAGAGAGAACTATTGTCGGAATCCAGATGGCCAAGAATTCCCTTGGTGTTTCACTTCAGACCCAAGAGTCCGCACAATGTTCTGCACCAACGTCCCTCGGTGTGACACCCACAACAGGCCTGACAGTGGTGAGAGACTCAGCAGTTTTATGTGACACTGAAATATCTTCATCAGAAGACCATGAGTATTTTTATATTTCATAAACTTGAGGGTTCATATGAGACTCCACACCACACATTGGTTTAGAAACCTGCTTTCTGCATCCCTATGGAAAACTGCAGGACTACAGGACTGTGGGAAGGACTGACCACCACATCTCACATAAATAAAATACAATGATGTTCTGGTCTCACTGGACTGTAAAATATGGAGTTGAAGGATTAGTGTTGCTTCAGACTCTTTCTGTGGAAGCAAAAGATTGGAAAGGGAAAGATGTTGGCTGATTACACAAATTCAAATTTCCCAAGGGATTTCAGGAATATTTTGTTGAGCCTCTGTGGCCTTGCACATAAAGCCACTCCGAGGCTGTGCTGTGAGGTTGTGGTTTACCCTTGAGGGTTGAATACATTCCCGTATAGAAATCAAACGCAGGATGACAGACAGACTCAATTATTTATTTATGCTCCATGTTTTTCTAAGATTTCACAGTGGATGACTTACACTGTGTTCTCAGCATTGCATGTTCTACATCAGGAGTGCACCATCATGCATGTTTTACTTGTTTCCTTACTTTAGCATATCTGATTCAATGTTTGATCTACCTCTTCATGTTCTACAGAAGCCTGTTAATTATCCATTGATTTAAATCAGGTGCGCCGTGCAGAGAAAATCCTAAAACATGCAGGATGGTGGCCCTTGAGGACAATGATTGGGTACCCCTTACAACCATGATAATGGCCCTGTGGTTATTTTTGTTCATATGTTTATCTGGAAACTTATCTCAGTTTTTAATATTTTAGTGTAAAAAAAATTGTTTACAATGGCGGTCAACTAAATTTTGCATTTGCCATTCAAGACTTTTTCAAATATTTTATTTCAGACGCAATAAAGTCTTCTTGTTTTTGTTTTTTTCATAAAGTCTGACAAAAAAAATTCACTGCAAATGCATGACAGGTTTTAGTAGCAATAGAACAAGCAATATTCACTACATACATACATACATACATACACACACACACACACACATATATATATATATATATATATATATATATATATATATATATATATACATACACTTCTGTTTGTATTGCATAAATCATTACTGTAATACATTTTATCACCTTGTGTCTTTCTTTTTGTGTCCAAATCCAGACTGCTATAGGAACTTGGGAGAGAATTACCAGGGAGAACAGTCAAGGACTAGATCAAACCTGCCCTGTGCTCCCTGGAGAGACCACAGCCACAGGTCAGCCCACTGGATCTCGACTCCGTCTTAGCCTAATAACATTTCCAAACTCTATGATGTAAAAACCAGATCTGCACCAATAATAAATCACAGACATGTGCCTCCGCCTATAATAGAGATGTCACAAAGTTCTAAAAGAGGTTAACCTCCAGGGCCTAACAAAGAATATGGGATTTTTAACAGCTCATTGGATTCAAAGCAAACTTCTGATAATAAGCAGATGGCATACAAATTGTAATTTTTGAAACGAGCGTTTGAAAACTTAAGAGATACATGCTTTTCAATGACAACTTCAATATGAAAAACATAAATTTGAGACAGAATGCAGGCACACACATTTAATTAAGTCCCATTGCTAGCCTATCATGTTAAGTCTTAGTTCAGGGAGGAGATAACGGCTCCTGTGTGTACCATGACCAGTTTCTCCAGCATCTATTAACAGCCAGCCAGCAAAGTGCTTTCCCTAAAGATGACCTAACTAAGCAGGAATGATCCCCTAGTGATAAGTTGGTTCAAGGATATACACCTCACTCCTCACCTCTGACCCCCAGACTTCTTCTTTGTAGTAACACTTCAAAGCCACACAGCTCCACTGCTTGGCTTCTTTCTAGGGGTTAAAAGTCAGGGTTGAAGAGGCACAATGAAGTCTGACTGTGAGAAATATAACACACATAAACAGAAAGTGGAAATTCTGGATTGTTGTTATTTGAAACTCCTCGCTGTGTTTCAGTTTTTGCACTACCGTACTTATTTGCCCTTGAAGAATTTGCTGTAAGACAGAATTTCATATTTAGCTTTTAGGGGCTCTTAGAAACTACTCTCCTCTGTTGGATATGTCAGCATAGAATACAAATGTAGGCGAGTTCATATCGTCTTTTGTGACTGTGACCCATAAATTGCTGGGAAATCATTTTCATTACAGTAAGAATAAAATATAAACAGCGAGGGGGAAAAAAGGTGAACATTATCTTTAGTATTTGTTAAATGTTTATTCAAGTTTAGCTGTGGGGATTTCTCTGTCTTTTTGTTCATCCAGTGGAGACAGGGGCATGCTAATGGCTGGCCTGGAGGAAAACTACTGCAGAAATCCTGATCAAGACAAACATGGCCCCTGGTGTTTTACCAACAATTCTGCCATTCATTGGGACTACTGCAATGTAAAACTTTGTAAGTGCAAATATGTGTGCACATAAAATGCCTTCACAGATGTATTTAGTTCAAAGTGAAAACAGTGTGTGACAATATGTGAAGTTGAAGGTTTGTCATTCTTGCTTTCCTTTAATTGCTTGGTCTCTACAATTAGACTCACACACTTGAGTCTGTGGTGTGCCAGCTTGTCTACATTCAAAAATTTGTTTGTGAGATGGTAAATCCCAAAGTCGCTAAATGTTCTACTTTGTTAATAGAAAAAATCAGTTAGGTTTCAAATAAGTTTTGCTTTAGGGGAAAAACACTTGGGTTGTTCAAACGCAAGTACCAGTAAAACAAAAATGCAAGAATTACAGAAAAAAACTAAATTACTGTCACACAAGCTAAAGACCCTGACAGTGATAAGTACTTTAGGTTAAGTTGGGGTTATTTATCATATGCAGATTCAACACAAGGTCAACAATGTAATGAAATGGTCAGGTTGAGAAGAACTGTCTTGTCTCACCAAAAAAAAAAAAAGGCAATACCAAATCATGCAACAAAAATACAGAAACAAGATGCCAAAAATGAAGACGTGAAATGCATATACAGCAGCATGGTCCTATCAATCAAATCATCCATCCATCCATCCATCCATCCATTATCTTTACCCGTTTATTCCATTTTGGGTCACGGGGGTCGCTGGTGCCCATGTCCAGCAATCACTGTGCGAGGGGCGGGGTACACCCTGGACGGGTCGCAAGTCCATCACAGGGCCACATAGAGACAAACGAGACAAACAACCATTCACTCTCTCACTCACACCTAGGGACAATTTAGAGTTACCAATCAGCCTAACATGCATGATTTTGGTCTGTGGGAGGAAACCGGAGTACCCGGAGAAAACCCCCGCATGCACGGAGAGAACATGCAAACTCCACCCAGAAGGCACCTGGACTGGGGTTTGAACCAAGGACCTGTTCGCTGAGAGGCAGCAGCTCTACCAGTTGTGCCACCGTGCTGCCCTCAATCAAATCAATCAAAATCAAAAATACTTTATTAATCCCAAAGGGAAATGATTTTGTTGTTATAACTCATTATCCTCATTTCATTAAGAGATGTTATAGATACTGATGGCTGTAGGCAGGGAGGATCTCTTGAAAAGGTCCATCCCACAGTGGATCCTAAGAAAGTGGCTGCAGATGCCGTCCGATCCGTCCACCCAGACTAGGCTGGCCTCTCGGTTCCCCCGGGCTGTAGGACCGCCCAAATGCCGGGCAGAACTCCTCCCAGAGCAATGACCACTCCTCCCAGCAGTCTGCCGAGCTCCTCGTCACTGCGGACAGCCAACTGTAGGTGCCAAGGGACGATCCTGTCCTTCCACTGTCATGAGCCGCGTTTCCTGCTAGTTCCAGGATCTCAGTGGTCAGACACTCGAGCACAGCCGGCAGGTAGATGAGAATGCATCCACAGAACATCCTTTTCAACTCATTTGAGAATTGGGGCTGTAGTTGAGATATTATTTGACCTTTTGAGATGTTAATCAGCTGCTGTTGGTTGTAGAAAACTGCCTTATTGCCATGGTTACGCATCATAACAAATGTCCAGAACTAAAAGAGTTTCAGTAAAAATCCTTCCAGCTGCACAGCATCCGATACCAGAAGAAACAATCATCCCAAAACTGTGATTTACATCCAGAAAAAGAGGAATTAAAGTTTCCAAAAGCAAAATCTCAGAATGAAAGTAACAGAGCTGCTCCAACATGCAGCCACCTTGAGCGGCACAATTCTAGAATTGCGCTGCTCTAGAATTCTAGAATTGCAATTCTAGAATCAGCAGAGTGTTTCTGTTGGCAGTGAGGTTCTTTTAGCATCATGGTACTGTTAGAGGCGTGGTTCTGTTAGCACCGAGGTCTAGTTAGCAGCACTAGCAGGTCTTGTTAGCAGTGCGGTCCGTTAGCAGCATGATGATAATAACGACTGCTGCAACTGCCCTCCCAGACTGCCCTCCCAAACCGGATCCAGCAGACACACATCATCAAAGGTTTCCCTGCAAAACAGGACTGTTCCGTAGAGTTCGGTCCGTGCAGTCAGATGGAGCATCATGGAGACAGCCGCCATCACGACAGGCCAAAGCCTGAGCCCGAGGCTGGAAGTGGGGCCGGGAACTGAAACACGATGGCAAGACAGTGACACAGAAAACTCCAAAAGTGCGTTGCGGTCATACCTGTAGTGTGGGTGTGCAGTGTAGGCACTAAAAAAAGTTAAATCAACAACAGGGAAAAAAAAAGAGCGAAGCGGAGCTCCCTTCATGCTACCATTCTGAGGCGCACGTGACATCACACTTTAAAGTAGATGTGTAAAATACTTGTTGGGTTTGTAACATACTAAATACATACTACATACTGCAGTTACAGCACGCGCTCTCAGGCCATCATTACCTGCAGCGACCCTGCAACAAGAACTGAAGTTGTCCACCCTAATTTCTTTAGGGGTTTCAAACATTTGATAACGTCAATTAAAAAATCCATGCAAATATGTTCTTATTTTTAGTATTTCACCCTGTTTTACAGCACCCTGTTCATTGTTTTAAACACTATTCTCATTTTTATTGCATTTTTGCTGTAGTTTATTGTTGTCATTGTTTACTGTTATTATTGTCTGTACTTTACATGTTCTGTCTGGAACAGGTCCTTCGTGTAAACGAGTCCTCGTGGCTCAATGAGGCTATAGCCTGTATAAATAAAGGTTGAATTGAATTGAATATATAAGCATCCATTCATCAGCCACACTAACTTTACTCTGTTCAACACAAAGAGCTACATCAACATTTGTGCTCACAATGTGCCAAATGACTTTCCCCTGCTAAAATCCATGAAAATCTTATCTGATGCAAGGAATCAGTGCACATGAAGCCCAGAGGAGTCTGCAACTACACGTCAAACAAAATCAAATAAAATCAATTTGCAGCCTTAATCTCTGATTCATAAAGCCAGAGGCACCAACCACTGAAACTATGTGTCCTATTATGTTAAAAACAATAAGCTTCTAATTTAAGCTCATGCCAGTGTAGTCATTCAAGACTTGGAAAGTTTAAATACAACTTCCCTAAAAAAGCAAAATATTTCAAAGCATCTTTTTGGACATAATTTAATAATCACTATGACATTTCGTTTTGTGTGATATAACTCTCCCTGTATCAGCTGACACTCATTGATCGTTGTTCATCTCCTTTTGTGTGTGCAGGTGATGAGTCACTGAACGCCATTCCTGCAGGTGACGATCTTGTTACCTCCTAAGCTTCTGATGTGTATTTGATTGCCTTTTTTATTTTTATTTTTTAGAAGTTTTATATCCAGTCATCATGTTACACGATGCAGCACATTATGTTGTTGTGGTGACATCTGTTCCTTTATAAGTGTGTGTGATGTTCTCTTCACATGAAACGTTCTCCACACAACAATTCAAGCATCAGGGATGGAGCCACTTCTCTGAGACATATGTGGTGTTCAAAATGCTCTGTGAAAAGAATAATTATCGATCTCATGAAAATTCTTACTTGAGTTTAATAAATATTGATTATTCTGACAGGATTTCTTTTATGTTTTAGTGCCTGTTATATAGAGAACACAGTGCTTCAACTAACATTATATTTATGTTTTGAGTAGATATTGGTGGGTTAAACTAAATCAAAATGAACATATTGGGTGTGTAATGGTGTGTGTTTTTGCTTTTCTAGTTAAGCCATCTCCTGTGAGATGTTTTGTCCATAAAAGGACCAGGATTGTTGGGGGCGCTCCAATAGGCATATCAGACGGCAGCTGGATGGTCAGCATACAGAAAGGGTACAGAATTTAAAATCTTACATATTCTTCTCCCACATTTAAAACAACATTTATTTTTGCTTTTCAGTAAGCTCTTTCATTTCTCTAGTTGTAGTGGTAAAGTCAGCTTATAAAGATGCATAAAATTAAAACAATTGCTTTTCACAACTGATTACGTCTTTTACAGTACATTAGATTTCTATAGCGTTTCTGTATGCCTCTCCTGTTAAATTTATACATGGGGGAGGTCAACTGGATTTCCACCATGTCTCACTAACCTTTATGCTCTTTCCAGATCAGTTCACTGGTGCGGTGGTTCACTAATACGAGAGAAGTGGGTTCTTACTGACAGACAGTGCTTCTCTTCCTGGTAATGTCAGTGCATACTGTCACTGTTAAAAAAACATCTATATTTTCTCCTTGAACTTTTAACTGAATTATATATTTTTTTTTTTTTCTATTTGTTTAACCCATATGGAATTGTTTTATGTCTTGCATCTTTTCAGTGTGCCGGATCTCAGTGAGTATCGGGTGTGGCTCGGCATCTCGGACCTTCGAGAGGATGCTCCTGACAGGTCCAAGAGGCAGGAAATCAGAATAGTTAATGTAATATGTGGCCCCAATGGCTCCAGTCTAGTTCTTCTACGACTTGAAAAGTGAGTTTTCGTAACTTAAAACTGAAACATTTACAAAAGTAAATAGATTTTGCAGTGTCAAGTTAGTAATCTTTTTTTAACCTTCTGCGTTCATTTAAAATGTCCAGGCCTCCACTTCCTGCAGACAATGTCCACACCATTCAGCTGCCTCTAGCTGGATGCTCCATCCCAGAGGGAACAATATGTAAAATGTATGGATGGGGAGAAACCAAAGGTACCAATGTTTGCAGTTTGCATTAGAGCGATTTGCATTATTTCATTATTTTCATTGTAGTTTTGCATTATGGCATTTTATTTTGATCACATTACTTTGCAGAAGTCTTGCGTCAGCCCTCATTTCTTATATTTTACTTTCAAGCAGCCAAGCTTTCATTCAGGTCTTGAACAACAGGTTTTTTTTTAGCCTTTCTGAAGGTCTTTCGTAGTTTTTCTTTGGGCTTTAGTTGATTTTTCACCAAATTTCTAATTAGTACATTTGATAAGGCACTTAGCAATGAACCACTTTTAAATTAGGCAGTTTGTTGTTAACAGCTGGTGTTTAAAATATTTAGTTGAAACTAAGAAACAATGATCCCATTTTAAGAGACATAAAAATGTATTTTAGCACCAATGTTTTATTACTTACTTACTTGTAAATGAGTCCCCGAGACTCAATGAGACTAACCTGGATAAATAAAGGTTGAATAAATTGCCTTAAAGCTGTCAGATGAAATTTGGCACCCAGTAGATAAAGTGTACGCTGTTGCTCACTTGGAAGTAGCCACTTTGAATAGTGTATGAAATGCTACAGTCCTGATGCACCATTGTTTTGTGCATGTTCTAACAGAAAACAGGCTGTAATCTGGAACTTCCAACTCTTTCAGGCACTGGCCACGATGACGTTCTTAAGACGGTCAATTTGCCCATTATTGGCAGTGACAGGTGCAGAGAAATGCATAGAGGGAGCTTCCACATCACCAACACCAAGATCTGTGCAGGAGGCAAAAATAACGAGGGAGTGTGTGAGGTATACTGTTTGCTTAATTCCCTGAAATATTTAGCAAATTCCCATTGTCATTATGTATGTATTAAATGTAAGTGTTACAGCAGCCATGTGGTTAAACAAAAACAGGCATTAGGACATAAAGATGGAGCATTTGTTGGGAATCTGTGAGGACAGTCATGCCTCAGTTCAACACTCTGCTTTCAGAGCCAAGTTTGATCTAAATCTCAAACAAATGTTATTTAAATCCGCGGGCTTAGTGTTCAGTCTGTTGTAAATAGAGCAGCTGGAGACTGTTGCGCTGAGTTTCATCACATGTCAAAGATGTCTGAGGTTTGTAGCTCCGAGAGACCTGCCTGTGATGTCACTGAACATGTTAAATACTTATTTTGTTGTTGTTACATTTAACACTGTCAAAAATGTAAACGGTGATGATTCTCAGTTGCAGACAAAGATAACCAGGCTCTGTGTTTTTTTCTTCTGCAGAGGGATTATGGTGGCCCTCTTGTGTGTCAGGATGGTGAGCTCAAAGTTATTGTTGGTGTAAGCGTCCATGGCAGAGGCTGCGCTCGGGCCAACCAGCCTGGCATCTTCATTAATGTGCCCTTCTACACTCAGTGGATTTACAAAGTCTTCAAATATTACCCCGACCCTGAGATTGCTTAGAGATGGAGAGGAAAAAAAAAAGACTATCAGGGGACTTAAAGTTAGAGCTTCTTGTCTTTAACTCCAGCGGTGCACTCAGGACATCTGGTTTCTGTGGTTTTGTATCCCCATGGGGTCTGCAAATGAAGATGAAGTTCTGAGAATGCACTTACACTTATCCTCAGCAAGCACCACACAATTTCTACTGTAAAGGTCACTGATAACAAATATGAAGACATTTTGTTTTTTTTCATAATGAACCACTGGAGCAATGGAATAGTGGGCTGTAATAAAGACTGACATCTTTGAGTTAGAGGCAAAGCAGAAAAACAAAATGTCAATTTTCACCATTTTCCAAATTTCCAATAATCCACTATAGATCTGTGTATGTGAATCCTCTCAATTCCTGGCTTTACTTGAATGATTTGAACGCCAAATGCAACTCTTCATCAGCTCCCTTTGTACAGCACGTCGGCAGGCCTCTTGGAAATCCATTCAGTGAAAGAGCAATGTTAAGGGCACTCTCACCAAACTCAATGCAACTCCAGGGACTTCAGTGAAGTAGTCCTTAATGTAAATAGGATTTTTATGAGTGTGTTTGTGACACTCCAAATGTAATTTAGGTCTTATAGATCTATGACAGGAATGTTGTGGCAGGCAAATGACATAAAGTGTGTTTTTACAGTTTAGTCAAGTTTCTGTTTCATATTAATGTCAGAATTAACTCAGTTTTCGGACTGTAAAGTTGTCATATTATCCAACAATCGTGTGTTTGGGATGTTGACTGGGAAAATCTGTGTGAATGATTACCTATCCCTTAAGGAAGTTAAATGATAAACTATATCAATCATGTGGACACGTGTTTTTTATATATAAAATATTCCAAATGGTTATTTCTCATGGTGTGTTTGTTTGTTTTTTTGCATCAATATCTATGCACAAAGGCATCTGCAGAGGGAGAGAATCTATGTGTCTGTGAATGTATGAGCCAGACCTGAATGAAATATCAGACTTTGACAGACTCCTTCTTCTTTTCCAGTCTGGATGTTAAAATCAAATTAATGGCTACCTTAAACTTTATGGATGGGACGGTCTTGGTAATAGAGGTGTCAGGAATGAGTTTCAGCATAAGAAATCTTAAACACTATTTTTATTCTGATATCACTGGCCACAATGTTTTTATTTCAGAATCATAGTATGGCTGTCTTCAGTGCTTGAGTTCAGTTTGTTTTAGTGCCTCCTTGTGTTTCCAGTCAGTCTCAGGATTTTTTTTCTGTCAGCTTCTGATCCTCTGTTTGGCCACACCCACTTTCACCTGTTCCTCGTTAGCTTTAGGCCAAGTCCCCAATCTCCTCATTAGCCTCAGTCCATTTAGCCTCCCAGTCTACAACTTGACTGCAGTCTGGTACTGTGCTTCATGTCCTGTCTGCTTCTCCTCTGTGAATCAAGTTCTGATATTTTGTATCATGCATGGGTTTTCTCAGAGTACTCCAGTTTCCTCCAACATACTAAAAACATGCATGTTTGGCTGATTGATAACTCTAAATTGTCCCTAGGTGTGAGTGAGCGAGTGAATGGTTGTTTGACCTGTCCAGGGTGTACCCTGTCCTTCGCACAGTGATTGCTGGACATGGGCAACAGGCGACCACCGTGACACAATATGGAAGAAGCGGGTAAAAGATACTGGATGGATGGATGGATGTATATATATGTCATGTGTGATAAACTGACTGTATTCCTGGGACCGACCTAAACTACAAATTGTGACATTTTTGTTGTGTGTGCATGTACGTTTACAAAACTATGCTGCAGCTGCTATATTCCACAGGTTGAACAGTATTGTGTAATTATATATATATATATATATATATATATATATATATATATATATATATATATATATATATATATATGAAGTTCATCTTATCCGATATTCTTGATAATAAACACATTATAAATTAAAAATTTGAACTGATCACTTTTTTTCATATAAACATTCCAGTTAAATTATTTTTTTTACGAAAGCCAAAATACATGGTCTTCAGCAATTTTCTTGCCCATCATGTAATTATTAAAAAAGTTGTGCTTGTTTGCCAGAAGATGGCACCACAGCAGCACAGAGGCTGCAAGGGCTGTAAGTAATCTTGCTAATCTCCCTCATGCATGCACACACACACACACACACACACATGCAAACACATACAGACAGACACATTCATATCCCTACTTTAATAAGCCACACTCTTATCCAGCTAAATATGCATAGGACACATAGCTGAACAAACTGTTTTCGGTATTCTAGACCCAATATTACTTTGTACAAGAGAACAGCAATTATGGCAGGTTGACACAGAAAAATAGGTACGAGGTGCACAGAGTACATTTGTGTGAGAAGGAGTGGGAACTGGAGAGCATAAAGGTTGAAAAGTGGCAACTGTGAGTTAAAGATTAAATGCTGAATCCATTGATGCTGTAAGGACCTTATGGTGCAAGCAGAAAAATACACTGGAATCAACATTTTTCTGTTGCAACGCTGAGGTGTGCGCTGATGTTGACACAATGCACACAAACATAGAACACACACACACATAATAACAGGTACTGTTATTGAGGCTGTGAGGCATCAAAGAGAGATGATGTCTCGGAAGTTCACTTTCATCTTTGAGTCAACTGGATGGATATGTAGACAAGAGGACAGTAACAAGACTCACACCCCACCTATTAATAAATTACATACACTGGGATTTGTAACTTGCAGAACACAGCGAGTATCCATCCATCCATCCATCATCTTTTACCCGCTTCTTCCATTTTGGGTCACGGGGGTCTCCAGTGCCCATGTCCAGCAATCACTGTGCGAAGGGCGGGGGTACACCCTGGACGGGTCACAAGTCCATCACGGGGCCATATAGAGACAAACGAGACAAACAACCATTCACTCTCTCACTCACACCTAGGGACAATTTAGAGTTACCAATTAGCCTAACATGCATGCTTTTGGTCTGTGGGAGGAAACCGGAGTACCCGGAGAAAACCCACGCATGCACGGAGAGAACATGCAAACTCCATTCAGAAGGGCCCCTGGACTGGGATTTGAACCAGGGACCTACTCGCTAAGAGTCAGCAGCTCTACCAGTTGCGCCACTGTGCTGCCCCTGCCATTAATATCATTTTACATAAAAAGTAACAATCTTTTAAGCATAGTTTTAAAATGAACATGTCTATTTTCAAAACAAAATAGGACACTGGTTCCACAAAAAGATGAGCTCAATAACTTGTCAGTTTTCCGTTCTACATTTAAATACTAAAAGTAATAGTTCAGATCGTATGAGCTGAGTTCTGTGGAGAGCAAATGAACATGTATAAAATGACAGGTCTGTAAAATGCAGTCTTGGACCAGTTTGACATACAGTAACGTTTAGATTGTCAGTCCTGTCAGAATTCAAACGGAGGTCATTCAAAGAGCTATCTACAACAGATAAGATAGTAACTGTTCAAGACATTTCCACTGAACCCCACTTCAAAACACCTGCACTTTCCCCTGAAGGTTACTGTTTGCAGCAATCTGCACCTTAGCCCCTCCTTCTAGTTGCGTTACATATTTTAGTGAGTGGGAAGATGAGTGGGGAAATAGTATGAGAAAATATGGAAAATGATGTAGACTGATTATTCCAGCAAAAGGCTTTTAGAAGCCACAGGACTCCTATAACAGATCATTGAGTTTCAGATTTAGTTACGAGTATCTTTCATAATCTAATTGGGTTGTCTTTGTAATGTCATTAAAACTCTTTTTAGGCACAGTCTCTTTTCTCCGTGGTCTCATCAGCTTGAGGCTTCTGCTAAGCGTGCCTGTGTGTGTGTAAATCTGTTATATCCAACAATGGGGGCATAGCAGAGTGTGTAAGGTGAGGGTTATAGAAGACTCCTTCTTCTATCACCATTTCATCCTGTAACATGACACACCTTATACTCCGATGCTTACTTTAGCTTAAAAGTCTCTTTTTCCACAGTGTAATTAACACATTGCCCTATTAGCAATGTGTGGGTTTACATTAGCATGCTAAAAATGCAAATGATATTTATACAGTAAAGTTGGTTTTATTTCTTGTTTGTTTGTTTGTTTGCTCTGGGGCTTTTAAACATAAAACTAAATTATTAAAATGATTATAATTACTAAAATTAAAAACATGAAAAACAACATCATATGCGACTACTTTGTATATACACCTCTTAAGGTGTCCATTGCTGAGGAAATTAAATAATGACAATTTCAAAGAAAAAAAAAAACTTCTTAACTGACTCACATTATTTTAAACACAACAAATTATTATGATGTGTTATTGGTTGTTGAGCTAAAACTAAACTGAAACTAAAAGTAGTGTGAAACAAAAAATTAAATTAAATAAAAACGTAAACATGCCATGAAATAAGTTATTGATGTAATTATTTTTAGTCATGTTTAATGTATTTGCTAGTTGGTATGGGAATATTGTTTTGTTGCATCAAGTTTTTGCCAGGCTGAAGTTTTTTTGTTTTTTTTTAGATTCAAAGAAGTGCATCCCTGTGAATGCAAAACAATCCTTAATCATCTCCCCTCCAGCAACACTTAAAAGAGACTGACGTTTGGGCAGATGCTATACATTGGCTTTTTGTCAAATGTGGTCCTGTGCATTACAGACAAAAAAAAAAGGGAAGAAAGATGTTTTTGTTTCTGGAAATCTTTCCAAACAGCTACAATTGTTCTGTTTCAGTTTATGGACTCTTGTGTTATTATTTATGGATTTATTGCTTCCATTATTTCCACTCTTCAACAATCATTTTGCATTTGGTTGTTGTTCTTGTTTCCAGTTCTGAATCATTATGTTTCATTTCAACTGATTTAATCAGTTGGACTAGCTTTCTTCCTGCCCTTCACTTCTGGATCAAATTTGCCAAGTGTACCACTTGAAATGTGTTAGTCATTATTTTTACTCTGTTTAAATACACCCTAGGTTATTTTATTTATAATGTAAAATCTGTGG